TCACAAAGCTGAAGTCGGTTTCTCATTTACCAGCTTCTTGTTCAAATTTTCCCGTTCCACCTTAAATGGTGCAGCAGGTATTCTGGTGCCTCAGGCAGAATTTAAGGTGGAACGGGAAAATTCGAACAAGAAGCTGGCGAATGAGAAGCAACTTTAGCCTCGTAAAAAGACGAATGATAAGAGACATTTTATAAGAAACTGTTCTACTTTTTTGGCGAAAAAAAATTTTCCTGCCAGAGATGCGAGAAAAGTGGCTATAACTAACCTAAAGATTAAAGCAGAGTAAAGTATTTATTTACAGACAAGATGGTAAAATGGACATAAAATGTTGAAGCTCTCAAGGTGGTTTGATTTTGTTGAAAGGACAAAATGGCTCTTCTTAACATTTGGGTTGCCGACCTCTGATCTAAATATTGACCTTGTCACCAGGAGGCTGCGAGCTCCATCCCTGGTGATGTCACAGCCATCTGCGACCAAAGAGCGTAACTGCCCAGCACTAGTTCGCGTTATCATCCAAACACACTGAGCTGTCCAATAATCTGATGTTTGTGGCCGTTTAAAAAGTGTCCCAGAGGAAACGCGTGCTATCCTTTACCCTCCCAGATTGGTAGAATCATATGACAGGGGGAGGCCTTGCAAAGGGTGGAACTGGCAATGACTAAATGGGGAGAAAATCAGGCAAAAAATATAAAGCATAGCTGCTAACTTTAGCTATAGATAGGTAGGACATGTAGCCCAGACCCAAATCCTTAGTGTTGTAATATGTATAGTTTTATGTAATGTTGTTTACTGTGACTTTCCTTAAGCGCTCATTGTGATTTCATAGTGAAACTAAGAAGAAATAAATTATGATGGTGAATAACAATTAGCTACCATTCTTGTGTTTTTTATCGTAAGCTGTCTTTTAATTTGAAATAATTTCAACAATTTATAAGCAGCCTAACAGCACTAGTTTAGGTAGATTTTTGTTAGTAAGGTAGCCAGCTAGCTAACAGCATCTTTCATATTTAAGGTTATGACAAATTTAAATACACTTTTCTAGCTAGCTAACACATTTAGCTATAAACAGGTAGCCTGAAGGTTGTAATGTGTATAATGTTTAATATGCTGACATTGTGATATTCTTGAATATCACATGATTATTGAACAGAAAAATAATAAATAAAAAATGGTAATGGTGAACGACTCAAAATCAAACTAAATATTATACTTTTTCTCTTTTTTGTTATTTTTAATCAGTAATCAGCACAGAAAAATAGTGAAAAAATATATGATGGTGAACGATAATTAGCTATTATATTTCTTTAGGCATTGTTTTTTAGTCATATCTTGATTTTTGTTATGAAAAAATTTACATCAACTACTAACAAATATTTTATTATATTTTGCTATTTTAGGTTGGGCCCTGCACTGGACTGGCGACCTGTCCAGAGTGTTTTCTGCCTTCCGCCTTCCGCCCAGTGACTGCTGGGATAGGCTCCAGCTCCCCCAGAAGGATAAGCGGCTTAGAAAATGTTATCATATTGATAACAACTAATATCAACTAATGCAAACAATAGTAGTGAAACAATGAAGAAATAAACAATAATGACAAACCAGCTTTTATAGCTGTATTGTAGGTAGCTGGCTAACAATCTACCTCTCAGGAAAAATGTAGCTACTTTGACACAGTCAGCTAGCTAATGCCTTTAGCAGCAAAGCGCTAGCCCCTAGTAACCCCTGCCCTAAATGTTAGGGTCCGCAAACCTGAAACCACTGTTTTACCCTGAAACTGCAGGTCTAGAACTACTGCTGGCTCCATCTACAGATGGATGACGCTGGGAGCTCTCAGCGAGCGGAAGTCTTTGCGCTGCTCCGCTGAACTACAGTGCCCCCCCGGAGGGACAGTCAGTGCTGACTTAGCAGCTGCCACCTCTCCCTTTTCTCTCTCCCTCTCTCTTGAAATCTGATTGATCCTTCCGTTGAATCTGTACGCGCTACTCGCGCTCTCCAGCAGCAGACACTGGCAGCTTGTTTGATCATAAACACTCCTCGAACCAAGGTCATTCTCTCTTTCTCTATCTCTCGTTTCAGATTCCTCGGGCTAATGAACTTCCTCTTGCTTAAGTCCACCGCAGTCAGCATAAGAGCAAAAGACTTGAGGTGGGGTGGGAGGGTGTGGGGGGAGTAGATGGGAAGTTGAAAAGCTCTGGGGCGGATAACGTCTTTGAGCCCGGCCGTCTTTGAGGAGCTGCAGAGGGGAATGTTTTGATTTCTGATCTTCGCACTTCTGGTTCTGCCCCCGAAGATTCATTTGAAAGCAATGACAAAGAGGTCCTCCCTGCTCCACGATAGACGATGAATAGTAAGAGGCCCCTCTCCCTGCATGAGCCGCATAGGTGTGTTGGAGTGTTCCGACTCTTAGAAGGTGCTCTGTGGGACCAGTGTCCATATTTCAGATGACTGCATTTTGATGACTTAAGCTAAATATTGAGGCTTGACATTTTGTCCCTTCAAAACAACTTGAAACCAAGATGGAGAACCCCTATTACATCTTACTGTACATGTCAAGCATGACATGGCCTGCCATCTGAGAAACCGTGAGATTTGAAGTCTCTGCCGCATTTTTCTTTTTACAGAATGCATCACAGAAGAAGCGCAGAGTCTAGAAAGCAGATGCTGAGCCACACACAGTGAATTAAGCTATGAAAAAACAAAAAATGCAATAAAAAACATAAAAAAATGCAAATTCTAAAAAATAAAGCACACAATTATACTCTAAACATTTCGTGCTGCATACACATTTTTGGTAGATTTACAGGAAACATTACAACCTCCAGCAGCACTGCTGTGTCTGATCCACTCGTGCCAGCGCAACACACACTCCCACACCACCACCACGTCAGTTTCACTGCAGTGCTGAGAATGATCCACCACCCAAATAATAATACCTGCTTTTTGGTGGCCCTGACCATTGAAGAGCAAGGTAAAAGGGGGCTAACAAACAAAGTATGCAGAAAAACAGACAGTCTACACTCTTTAATTACAACTGGCCTTCTGTGCATTGCCGCAGCCACTGTCGAGCTCCACAATGGCCACACCCCTTACCCCACCAGCCAATGACAGCAGTGTTCATTATCATAACAAATTAACCTGGAAAACGATCTTTTCTTCACAGATGAGTAAATGACAGGGTAAAACACATCACACAAAGACTGAATGAAGGTTTTTTTGCTTTATACTCTTCGAAGATGTCTTTCAAAACGCACAGGGAACTACATTAAATGAAAAAAGAGTCTCCTTTTACGGCCGTGATATAGAAATTATTTGCGATCAAAACAAATTGTGTGCTAATAGGCCTATCCACTGTCATTAGACGCATGGTTCATATAAACCTAGGCGGATATTGGCTACAAATTGAAGCAGCTTCTCCATTATCTGCCTGAACTCGTCAGCTGCTCATGCCTGACGCCTGCAGAACGTGTCTGTTTATCACATGGCTCTCATCTCGCCGGGAGAGAGCGGAACGCTTGTTCTCATTAATCTAATGCACCGTGGCCCGGCTCATCATCGTTTATGTCTTTACTCCGGCGTGACTTTTATTACAGAGACGCCTTCGTTAGGCCATATTGGTTTTCTGGCGAGATCTCCGTCATTTCTCCACTCAGGCCAAACGAACCTAGGAGGTTCTTCTAAATCAAAACGAACGGCGCGACCACCAGCACACACACACACACACACACACACACCTTTGCGGCTGGTTTGGTAGCATCGTTGTCTCTCCATGGCGCAATGAGGAAAATTGTGCTGACTACTCGCCCTTGCAAAAGTCCTCATTAAGCTAATGAAAGCCTTCAAACGCAGAAACCAAACAAGGGTTCTGGGAGGTTATTACAGAAAATTACACCTCCAGGAGAGCTGGGCAAAAAAAAGAGGGGAAAAAAAGCTTGTTCATTAATTCACGCTTCGCAAATCGCTAACTAATTTAGCCCCGCTGCCTTCCCTTTCCCACCCTAATGGATTATTTTCATAGAAATGTGAGTGAGCGTGTTGATTTTTTTCATTCTCGGAACAGGCGCTCAGAGACCCCATGCATGAGCGGAGAGAAAACACGCAGAATTTTAATTCACATTAAGGCACATCAGGGGATCGGCGATCGCTCACACACGAGCCTGCTCTCTCTACCTCTGCTGCGCTGCTCTATAGACAAGATATAAATAAGCTAAATAGCTATCTGAAGTTGAACAATTTGGCAAATGAGTCCTGCCTTGTAGGCCTAGCCCCTCATTCTGTATGCCCAGACATGATCTATTCACTGAACTCTGCTGGTTGGGTGGTCAGGTTTACTCCCTTTTATAATACCAATTTTGATCTGGTATACAGTATAATACGGTTGCTGTCGTATGAAAACAGTCAAAAGCTGTTGTTCTGTTTTATATTCTTTAATACCGTTTGAAAACACAAGCTGCTCTTTACATTGTATGCAGACTTCATGATGAATGCACCAATAGAAATGGTCGAAATTTACTTAGGCTACGTTCACACAGCAGGTAAAAGTGGCCCAAATCTGACTTTTTTGTTTGGCTGTCCACATTATCTTTTAAATGTGACCTGTATGCAACATTAGTCTGAACAGACCACGCTCCTAAACTGACCCACATGTGCAAAAGCACAGGGCGCTCCACAGACTCAAAGGAGGCGAGACTTTCCTCCAGAAGGTGTTCTCAGATTAAGGTAAAGGGGTTTGAAGTGTTGCTTCAGATACAATACTAGAGCCACAAGGCTTGATAGATTTAAAAAATCTGTGCTCAGGCAAGCAATATAAGGTTTTGTTAGGACAGCAATGATATACTGAATACAATACTGCATATAATACTCCGCTACAAAAGAATATTGGGGAAGATTTTTTAATTTCAATTAAATTGTTAATAATTTAGTTTCTTGTGGGACAATTATTAGTAATTGTTTGCCAAAATTTCTTGAAGGGTGGTGACCGCTTAGCCACACCAAATCACCTCTACCTTTTTCTACGTGTGTCCTCCTTGTCTCATGGCTGGTGTCTTGGGTTGCCAGATCTCCCTCTTTGGGTCCTGGGGGTGCACTTGGAGACAGGCCTAGCAGGGCGTGACCCAGAGAAAGACCATTCTGATGCACGTCTGCAGAGAGAGTAGAGGAGCGGGCATTTTACACATATGAAGGGAGTTTTTTTGCCAAATTGTCAACTGTCAAGTCCTCCATTGGCTAACTGAGGCAAGTGAGGGAAAACTCTGAACTTCACTGTAAAGTTTCACATACAGGAATATTTTGGCAAGAATTAGGAGTTATGAGGCTAATATAACTACAAGCAATGGAAACATACCACACCAACTAGCAAACTGCACATTTTTATGTGTGAAAATGAACAAGACTGACAAAATTCAGGCTTCAAGATAAATGCCACAACTGTTTTTAGTAACATTATGTACTTTTTTCTGTATTTATAGATAAAAGTATGTCATATAGTGTCAGAAACCACATAATCCCATTTATTTGCCATTACTTACCAACTCATCACAGTTTGAGAGAGGTTTGTTTTGCTTTACTCAGGAAATAAGCTTCCATTACTTATTAGCTACATTAGCATTGCAGCTCCAGTGCAAAACTGTAGAAGTAAGCTTGATAACACTTTGTTTGCTTCTTAATGATTATAAAATTATTATCAAACAATTAATGATGTAAATGCTATTAAATGGACACATTTCAGTTTCAAACATAGAAGTACAGAAATAGCCTGAAGCCTGTATGATCTGTGATCCGTATGATGGTTTAAGGAGGGGCTTACAAAGGTTTACAAATTCCTTAAAAATAGTGGGCAAATGATAAAATACATTTAAAATATCTTTATCAATAAATTAGCAAGATTGTGGAACACACTCATTCTTAATGATCAATACCTCACTGTTAGTAAATGCTTACAAAGGGCCTGGAAACAGCTTCCAAGGAAACAGTTGCATTTAAAACATCTTAATTTATGAATCTGCAAGACCATCACTAAAGTAAAACATCTTTATTCGTCATTATCTCTGCCTTAATAAGGGCTAAAAAATAATATTTCCATGTTATACACAATTTAAAAGGGACATTAACTCCCAAACCTTACAGGACAACACAATAAAATACCGTAATTTACCTTGTTTTTGTAAATTTTATTGTAAGTTACTGCAAAATTACAGCGTTCAGGCATCTGCAGTTTATGAAATGTGACTACTTACTTGCATTTACTATCTTGTTTAGTCATTGTGAATTTAGTTCACTAGTTCTTGTTCATACGTCTTCATTAACATAACCAAGCATGCTTGTAAATGAAAGATTACCATTAATTTACACTGAACTCGTTAGTCAATAAACAGTTAATACTGTTGAGAACATCTTATTAATGTATCATATAAATACCATTTATACTTCATTTCTAAGCTTGCTTACAAATGATACGTTTCTGTTTACTATGGCATTTATAAAGTGCTTGCTAACAGTTAATAAACCGTTAAGAAGCAGACCTTAAAATAAAGCGTTACCGCAAACCTCAGACACCAACATGTCTTGGCTGACTGACTACATCTGAAGTAAGAGGTAAAACTGATTTCTCAACCAAACCATCCCTCTAAAGTTCTGCTTAATTGGTACACAGCCTTCTTGAGCTGAAAAAGGGCTCAAAAAAACTAATCTTATTGAGACGAACCACTAAACCAATAAAGAAAGCAGATATCTTGGTGGGATATAAGGTAAAGTGCTTTAACGTTAAATTCTGAGAGTGAACTGATAAAAAAATGGGATTTAAAGCACTTCCCACAGCATCTTCCCCTGGCAGACCAAGCGCATGAGTTCGAGGTCATATCATATCGTATCAGTTACCCTTGGAATACCTTTAATATTAACCTAGATGATAAAAGTAGAAAGCATGACATGTGCTCATGTAGTTTTATTTCCTGGTCCAGATTCTCTGAGAGCTTTACTTTCAGCAGATTATACGGTATCGTCTTATACTTAATGCTAAAAGCTTGGCACACTTGCAAGCCTGTGCGCGCTGGTCTGGTCACACATTATCATAAAAGCATATTTCCCGAGTGCTGCGTGAGTGGTCTGTGCAGGAGTGCGATGATGTGTGCTTGGTGGAAGAAAAGAAGCAAAAGAGAAAAAAAAAAACATGCCAACATTTCTAAGACAGTTGCAAAGAAAGATGTGATACAAACAGTGTTTTGCACAGCTGAGAGGGAGTCTGTAAACAGTACTGTGTACTATGTTAAGTCAAAGACCACCACTTACTTATTTAATGTTAAAATGGCCATAAAGTACAAGCTATACATTTTGCAGCTACAGGAATAAAAAGCAGAAAACTTATATATCTAACATCAGCTAAGTATAATGTCAAATCAAAGAAAAAATTTTCACACCTCCAAAGTTCAGTCTTAGAAGTTGGTTGCATTTTCTGCTTCTCACAATCCAAATAATCCCAAACACATTCAGTGATGTTGAGGTCTGGGCTCAGACTTGTTCTGAGAACACCAGCAGCTTCTTTGTTTAATTCCTTGATTTTCTGCTTTTTTCTCTGTTTCCTTTTCTCAGTAAGAGCTTCTTAACAGCTACACATCCTTTCAGACTCAGTTTTGAGTGTCTCCTCACAGTGGAGCTGATTTTCTCCTCTCTCTCAAAGATGAAAGCTTTAAGTGCTGTTTATCTGATGGGGACAGTTTTGGTGGTCTACCAGGTCTTGCCTCCTTTTTTTTCTGCAATTATTTTACTTATTAAAATCTATCCTGGAACAGGAATAACTTGTACTTAACAACTGTTTTAACTGATTTTCTCTGATTTTGCACAGATTTTTGTAATTAATAATTTTAAAGAGGTGTAATGATACTGATATTTTCAGGTTTGATACAGTTTTATTGCTGAGGTCAAAATTTCATAGTTTTTTGATGTGTTAAAAATGTCTTGGCAGAGCTCTAATTCTACAGCACAGCAACTGGTTTGGTTAATAAGATAAATAATAGTCCTTAACTAGAAATCTTTCACCTGGAAGCAGAAGTTCTATTCTGCCCTATAATGTAGGCTCTGTCTGAAACATAATAAACACTGCCTGCTCATACAGTATACTGAGGCAGGAAGGCACCCAGTCATATCTGAATCGAATGTCTGTATGAAACACTGCCTGCTGAGGTTCCTCTGTTCAGCTGTTTTTGAAGGCAGCGTAGATGTATCCTTCACTGCATTACATATCCCATAGTCCTCTGTGTCCATGGCGATATGGTTAGGATAATTATCAGAAAACACCAGCACTGGCGCAGTGGACAATGCTGCCTTCTAAGGTGCTGACTTATGAGACAGTGCAGGCAGCAAGGCTTCGAGACAGCAGCCTTCAGTTATAATACAGACAAAATAAACCCCAAAAATCTCAGCCCCTAGAATTTTTTAGGAAAACTGCCAGTCATTTGAGAGTGGGTATGTGCACTGCATAAGCCACACCCACTTTAGGAGGCACTCATTGTTGATCATTGACGGTGGTTTTCTCAAAAAATAACAAACGAGAAACCCCCAGAAGAGGCCGAGGGGCATTTCAGTGACCTGATTTAAAAGTGCAATTCACTTATTTGAATGTTAGCCTTTTTGATTTTTCAGTACTGTATGAGAATCATTACACCTCATCAGTAACCAATACGACTGAGCCACTGGAAGTCGTTCTGGATGACAGTACAGACAGGTGAGTCACACTGTGGCTAGAAAAAAAGCCTGGAGTGAGTGTTAGAAAGACCACTGGCCACCGCGTGGGGGCTGAGGGCAGACGTACGTGGCCGATCAGATGAGCTCTCGGTGTGGGCAGGAGAGCTGGACACGCTGCTGCTCTGCCTAGAGGACAAGTGACTGCCTGACCTACGGCCATCATCCAGGGATGGAGCCGGGGACGGGCTGTCTGGAACTCGCTCCTGTAAAAACACATATACACATCGTTATTTAAAGCTTTATGCAACACACTGAACTACAGGCTTACTGTTTGTTATTAATCGTAAAAAAATATTATTAGTTACCCACAATAAATTATATTTAACTACTGTAAATTACCATAAATTATTCACTAACTAGTACAAAATATCAGAAGTTATCATGAACTTTCCTGTAACTGCAACAAATTATTCAGAATCAACTACATTATGCAGTATCTACTATGAATTATTCAGTAACTGATATGAATGATTCAGAAACTAATACGAATTATTCGTTAACTACTAAAAAGTATTTACCAGCTACTATGATTTATTCAGTATCTACTAAAAAGTATTTACCATTTACTATGATTTATTTAGTATCTACTATGAATTATGCAGTAGCTACTATGAACTGTTTTGGCAACTACTGTGAATGAATCACTATGAAATAAATATGTAATGTATGTAGTTATGAGTGTGAGGAACTAAAATGTGGGACCCACATACAGATCTCTGAAAAGGATGGGCACTCATCATGTGTATAATGCAAGGAAAAATACTTCTAACGCTTACAGTAAAAAAAATATATGGGTTTTAACTTATGAAGTAACCTGACTGCCTTCCATTTCTTATATGATTGGGTGTGAACAGAATAAATGAACTAGATTATTGTGTTGTTAACATACTATTAGATATAGCAATGAAATGCTGTAACTCCTGCTTTAAAGCCCCATTCAGGGAATTTTTCAGTTCTGTGTAAAATGATAAACATGACCAGGAAAAGGAGTCAACTCTCGAGTAAACGTGTAGTTGGAATGTTAACATAACTGATTCCGAATCTCTGAGAAATGAGAAACGTGAAAGGCGTTGTGTCTACAGCCCAGAAACAACTCATCCTCAAATCACTGATTCAGGTTCAGTGAAGCCTAAAATCCCTTTTAAACATTGTTTAATCCAAATAAACCAGCGACGCACCTTAATGACCGAGGTGGCCATTCTAGATGTGTCACTATGGGCCTGAGCGGCTGCAGCCATGTTGGCGATGGTGCTCAGGTGGTTCATCTGGTTCATGGCCATGGTGACCGAGGCAGGGGGCAGGCTGACCGGGATCAGGGGATGTGACATCATCATGAACGGCAGCTCTAAACCTGCTGGGCACAAAAATACCAACAGTGTATAAGTGTGTGTTTCACAGGGCATTTTCCATGTTGAGTTGTGACATCAGTAGACAAATCAACTAACTGCTGAAAACCACCCAAACAACCAGTATTTATGATTCGCTTTTGATTTTCTATTAAATATTCAGTAACTACTCTGAAAATTCTGTGACTACTATGAATTATTCAGTAACAACTATGAATTATTCAGTAACTAGTAGGAATTACTCAGCAACTACTATAAATTATTCAATAACTACTACAAATTGTTCAGCAACTAGTAGGAATTACTGAGTAACTACTACAAATTATTCAGTGACTACTTTGAATTATTCAGTGACTACAACGGATTATTAACTACTACGAATTATTCAGTAACTACTAAAAATGATTCATTACCTACTATAAATAATTCTGTAACTACACTGAATTATTCAGTAACTACTATAAATGATTCAATAACTACACTGAATTATTCAGTAACTACTATAAATGATTCAGTAACTACACTGAATTATTCAGCAACTACTATAAATGATTCAGTGACTATGAATTATTCAGTAACTACTATAAATGATTCAGTAACTACTATGAATTATTCAGTAACTACTATAAATGATTCAGTAACTACTATAAATGATTCAGTAACTACACTGAATTATTCAGTAACTACTATAAATAATTCAGTAACTACTATAAATAATTCAGTAACTACAATGAATTATTCAGTATCTACACTGAATTATTCAGTAACTTCTTTGAGTTATTCAGTAACTACTATAAATGATTCAGTAACTACACTGAATTATTCAGTAACTACTATAAATGATTCAGTAACTACTATGAATTATTCAGTAACTACTATAAATGATTCCGTAACTACTATGAATTATTCAGTAACTACTATAAATGATTCCGTAACTACTATGAATTATTCAGTAACTACTATAAATGATTCCGTAACTACTATGAATTATTCAGTAACTACTAGACATTATCCAGAAACTACTATGAAAAAAATGTCAAAATTTAAAAATAGGTACTTTAAGGGTTGTTAGCAAAGGCAATGCTTATATATAGAACCATGAACAGTGAAAGAACCACGGGTCTTTTCATGGTTAAATAGTTCTGCTCTATGATGGAAAACCTGTTGTATGTGATTTTTATAAAAACCTTTTTATGAGGTGATTATGAGAGTGAGGAACTGAGATGTGGACAGCGTAGAGGTCCTTAGAGTTAAAGGTAAAGAACGCAGTGATATATAAAATCTTAATCTCTAATTCCTCTCAGTCACTGTGCTGCTGAGGAACACAGCGTTAGGCCTCAGCATGGCAGTGAGTATTTTTGGATCTACTGGAGTCACACAATGCAGACCAATTAGCTGCTTCTCGAACCGCTGCAGATGTCTTCATCCATAACGACCCAGTGATAAATTAGACCGCAGATGCTATTTGTAGCGCAACATGCAGCGTGACAACAACGGGGCGAGAGTCGATTTGCCTTGTCCCTCGATCGCTGACGGCCCGTTTGTTTAGTCTACTGATCTAATACTAAGAGACAGTATAACAGCATTGTGCTTCAGACGAGTACAAGTGTATGTATGTGTGTGAGAGGGGGAGAGTGTTGTACATTTTTTAGGACAAACAAAAAACAACATTTATTTAATTTCCAGCCAAAGCAGACATTTTGTACAATTTCAGAATCAAGAAAAAGCAGAAAACATATATTTAACAAAATAACACAGAGGCCTTGACTACTAAATATATACATTTTTTTCAGCATTTAGTGTGTCCGCTCATTACCTTTATTACAGCTTCCGTTCTTTTCAGGAGACTCGCTTTCAGTTTTTTAAAGAAATCTGCAACGTGTATCAGTGAACATATCAACAGACTAGGCTAACGTCAGCTTGTTTATACCAAAAATCTGCCAGAATGGTGGCAAATAAAGTGGAATATTTCTACAGCACCATTTTTACAAAAGTTGCTCGCTAGTGGACAACCTAAATTGGGGTTGTATTATGTTTGTAGTAGCAGGAGGCAAAACATTGACAAAGCTGCCTTTTTGGCGACATTGCTGCAGGGATTGTAATATTATTATTTTCCATTTTAAAACATTTTCTATTTCTTTTTTATCATTAAAACAATTATTTTTTCACTGATTTCACTGATTAAATGGCTTCAGCAGCCCAAAACGGACCACTACCCCCCTCAGGATTGGATCAAGAACCACCAAAGGGTGTTTCACGGCCCACTTGGGGTCCATGGTGTAGCGGCTGAGAAATCCTGATCTACCAGGTCTTGCACATTTGTTAGGAGCCTCTTTTATTTGTCATTTTTAACAATTTTTAACAACTTTAATTTTGGAAACTTTTGGAAACTTCACTTATTTTCCTTTGACGTTCAACCTTAAAGCAAGTGGTTTATGTAATCTCCCATAGTCTCCCATAATGCCCAACTGGAAACTGACAAATGAAGGCTGGTCTCTGACTTTTGCACTGTATTATACACATATGACACATATCATTATTATGTATAGATACTTATATATATATATATACATACGATTCATATGAATGATGTCCTGACATGGTACAAAAACAAGTGTGTGTGTGTTTCTGTGTGTGTGTGTGTGAATGTGTGTGTGTGTGTGTGTGTGTGTGTGTGTGTGAGTGTGTGTGTGTGTGTGTGTGTGTGTGTGTGTGAGTGTGTGTGTGGAGGCCTAACAGCAGAGTAAAGAAATTAGATCCTGTCTCTACTGGACAGGTCAGTGCTTGGGGTTACATTGAGCCACTCAACTGTGGCTGCCTGTGGTCTCTATAGCCACTTTGAAAGCGTGGGATGAAAGGGAAAAAGAGAGAGAGAGGCGAAGTACGAGGGAGGACATTTTAGCCCGTTTCCCTCAAAAGACTCATGGGTTTTTCCACAGAGAGGAGCTCCTGAACTGTGCTGAACCCACTGTAATGGATTCCGCTCTGGCTGACCGTTAGAAAGAAGAAACGTAAGAGAAAATGCCTCGCCTGTGATGCACCGTCAGAGTCATTTTTATCTGCCTCTATAGTTCAGAAACGTGGCCGGGGCCTCGACGAGACAGGAGACGAGGAGGCCTTTGGAACCAATCGCCCACTGCATGCAGACAGCAATCTGCCTTTCTGCTTTTGAACCCAAATACCAGCCAACGCGAAAGGTCGGAGGGGCTTTCTCATCGTCCGAGACTCGGAAACGGCACTCAGAGACTAAAGTTACGTGGGAGAAAAAACAAAAGGGAACATCCCCTCCTCCCTCCATGCGCTGACATTTTTAGTCTGGGACAGAGGAAACCAAATGAAAGGAAAGAGAGAGAGGGTGAGAGGGAGAAAAAGACAGAGAGAGAGGGAGGCTTGATTTTTCCTGAGACAGATGACGCGCAGATCAGTCATGCTGCTCGAGCAGACGAGAAGGAGAGGAGGAGAGATCAAAGAGGACGAGTGTGTGTGTGCACGTCTGTGTGCTCGTGTTGTCTTTGGGGGGCTGTTATTTGGATGGGATGATCCTGCACCACATGCCAAAAGCACTTGCAAGCTGTTCCTTCAATTTCTTTTTGATTTTTTTTTCTGCCCTATCCCTCACCACCTCGTCTATGTTAAAGGTTAAAATCACAGCATCCATTAATCATCGACGCACTAAACCACCGCTGCTCTTTAAACGCTCCAGTGTTGCTGCTGGTTTTCGACATCAGTATTACAGCGAGCAAAATCAAACTGACATACAAATTAATTTTATATTAATTATTTCTTGTTCATAGTTTATTAAAAATAGCTGAGAAATTGTGTTGAAAGTGCAAAACGTTGGATCCACATCACATTAGTGTTTGTAAGTAGGAGATGTTTCATTGTGATTTGAATTTGATGATGTTTTGTCGTGTACAGGCTTATTTTTACACAAAGAAAAAACATCCTTGACATTTTTGCCATCGTACAGACTCAAAACTGTCACTACAGACTGTTAATCCAATGGAAATTAATGAATTATGTAAACAAGTGATGCCAAACAAGAACCACTTTGCCTTTCAGTGGTTAAAAATGTCAGTTGAAACCAGCTGGAAGGCTTTTCAGGGAATTAGATGTAGTTCTTCTAAGGCATTGCCCCAAACCTGTTTCGGGACCATTATTATGTAACTGTTTTGTAATTAAATAATAAATTATATACATTACTGTGCGAAAGTCAGAGGCCAACCGTTATTCATTTAACTTCCAGTCAAAACCATTAGGTATAGGTTACATATGTGATAATTCACCTTCATAATGAAGAAAAATAAGTGAAAAAACAGGAGTTTCTACAACTGGAATTCAAAAAATGATTAAAAGATACAGAAAAAAGGGACCCCTAACAGCCACCTGCAAGACCTGCTAGACCACCAGAACTGTCCCCAGGAGTTTCCGTCCATCCTTCCACTGTGAGAAGACACTCAACACTAAGAGTCTGAAAGGATGTGTCGCTGTAAAGAACATCACTGAATGTGTTTGGGATTTTTGGATCATGAGAAGCAGAAAATGCAACCAACTTCTAAGACTGAACTTTGGAGGATTGGAAAATATCCCTGCAGATTTCTTTGAAAACCTGAAAGTGAGTCTCCTGAAAAGAACAGAAGCTGTTATAAAGGCTATACATATTTATTTACTATGTTTTTCTGCTTTTAATGCTTAACTTGGTGGTCATTTTGATTGGAAATTAAATAAGTGAAAGGTTGTCTTTTGCACAGTGCTTTAATTATGCAATTACACAATTACAAAATAAAAATAAAGGTGCCACAAAGAGCTTCTAGTAGACGGTTCTACTATTGAAACTACTCATCTGAAAGGTTCTTTAACGGAACCAAAAGTGGTTCTTGTAAGGCATCGCTCCAAGGAACCTTTCATAGCACCCTTATTTTTTAAAAGTGTTACTGCATAATTAATCACGCTGTTGTTTACACAATAAATGACACATACATTCAATTTACATTCTGTCGACATGTTC